AGTACAAACCAAGTTCTCTTACTATGTAACTGTCGCTTAAAAATGTTTATAGCCTCATTGGAAGAGGCACAAAAATGTGTATACCTTTTTTATCTTAAATTTCAAGCATATTCATGCAACACATTAGCAATCAAAACACATCAAGCTCATCATTTGTTAGAACAAAATGGGTCCCAAGCACTCCATGTGGGGTAAAATGTTTTATAACTACACAAATAGAACAAATGCAGTTGAAATATGGTTAAACATATCCCAAGCCTACTTTTCCCAACATCATTAGAAGAAAACAAGACTAAAGAACCTGAAGCAAACATTGAATAGGCAAAAGAAATATAAGTCAGAAAATAAGCAACTAAAGTAATATTAAAGTAATTCGTTTAAAACTACCATACTAAAAGCAGCAGGTGCTCTACAAACTTCAAAAGAAACTACAATGTTAATATCTTATAAACTAAAATTTTTTTATTAGCAGAGACATGTTCTGCAGTTGAGCAACAAAACACCCCTTCTAGAGAATCATGTCTTCTATGATACTTCTTACTCACCGTCATCCTCCTGTATTAATTAAAAAATAATAATAATTATCAACATATAGTCACCAAGTTAAGTTTGTGATTAAGATTTGAAGTCTTTAAGAAGTTTTTAAGTACTACAACAATGAATTTAAAAATTCCAACTGACCTCTCCAGTTCCCTCATCGTCATCCTCATCATTAACTTCAGACTTTGACTTGTCGGACTCATCATCAGCACCTCCAGCCTATAAAAATAGTTTGGCACAAGTCATTTCCATATCGCAATCAATTCAAACAATGCATAACAATATGCTTCTCATAGATGAATTACCAATTTTTTGTTGTAGTCTGCCATTTTGTGTTCATATTCCTCCTTTCGCTTCTCTGCCTTTTCCACAAATGGAGCTTTTTCCTGATTTTTTTCAAGTCAAGAAATTTCTTGAGAAGAACAATAAAACACAAAAAATATCTTGGATGGCATATAATTACCTCATCACTCATTGACTTCCACTTATCTCCACCAGCTTTTCCAACCTATATTATTCCCAAAAACAATTCGTAAAGATAATTATCACGATAAGTCCAAGTGCAAGTTGCTTTCATAAATTGTTAAGCTTCAAAAAAAAAATAAAAAAAAATAAATAATAATAAATAAATAAATAAATAAAAATAAAGAGGAATGACAAACTCACAATAGCAACCGATTTATTGTTCGGATGTTTTTCCTTGTACTCTTTTCTAAACCCTTCCCTAAAAACACAACAGGCATCAAAAGCAGTAATGGTCTAATTAATGATAAGAAAAATAGACAGAAGAGATAGAAACACCAAGAATACAGATTAGGCATACATGAAAACGAAGAAAGCACTTGGAGGCCTCTTTGGCTTGTTTGGGTCCTTCATTTTCTTTTCCTTCTTGGTCTTCCTCACAGCAAGCCTAATATCGCCATTGCAAAAACAAATCACAAATAAATAGTTTTATAAAAGTAAAAATCAATAAAAGAGGAGGAAAAAAACTGGCAGCTGCCCACAATAACAACATAAGTTGCATAGAACAAATTGATGAATACACAGGAGTACGACATCTAGTAAATTGAAGTACTTTCCCTCTTCCCGGAGAAAAATGAACAACAATGTATAAAAACAAACCTATATGAAAAAGGCTAAACTCCTACAGTCTCTTTTAAAATAAAAATAATAATTATTATTGTTAATTCAGTTAAACAAAAGACAGAAAAGTGTACAAAAGAGTGCATCACGTGTGTATGCACGGGCTAGATGAATTTACACTATTTTGGAAAATACGAGTTAAATAGTAGAAAAAAGTCCTGAAAATATGAACTATCCCATCACAACTCACAAGGTCTTTGTAGAAAAGTTTAAAACTGTAATTAACAATTAACATCATCAAAGAAAAGCAACAATCTAACCACAAAACCAACAGAAAAACAACGTATTTATAAAACTCATTTATTTGACGTTCATTGATTCAAAAATTACGCCCGTAAAGCAGAAAACATAATAAATATATTCATAGCAACAAAATATGAAACAACAGATCGCTTATTGGATCTAGTTTTTTTCAAGAGTAATTAAAACTAATTTAAAAAAAACGAACAAAAATGCACGGATTAACGAAATAGTACATATTTAACGTCGAGTTGATTCGAAAATTTCCCCGGTAAGGCAGGAATTATATTTAAAAAAAAAAGGTAAAATAAAAAGAAAAAAGAATAACTCACTTGCTATCAGCTTTCCTGGAATCAGCTTTGGATTTTCCACCTTTCATGATGAAAAACTGAACAAAAAACACCGAATCAGTAAAAAAAAAAACGAAAATCAACCGAAGCAGCAAAAAATGAAGGCAAATTGGCCCGAACTTACAAAAACACAAAAATGAAAAGAGACGGGGGTGAGAAATGGAGGCGAATTGGATCAAACTTACCTTAAACGGTGATCTAGGTTTAGAGTTGGGGATCTGTATCTAATTTCTCTCTCTATATTCGTGGAGGAATCGTGGCTCGTGAATTACCGAGATGGAAGTGAAATGTGGCGGAGTGAGGTTCATTTATAAGAGAGTTGAAATGTTGAGTACTTTCAAATTTGCGAAATGAAATTGAAATGCAGCGGGTCATAGAGTGCCTTTAGGCGGGATGTTGAATTTATTTTTTCTTTGGTATTGAGAAATAACTTATAAGTGATTTTGAAAATAATTGAATTTCTTGATTAAAGTTTAGAAACTATAAATTGCTTATTTGAACTAGGACGACAACGGGTCAGAGCAGGGTAGGGTCATTGCCCCGATTATTTTTTTAGCCCCCGTTTTGTTTAGTTAAAAAATTAAATTTTTTGTACATTTTGATAAAAGTTGCAAGTCTCATAAAATTTGTGATCGAAAATGAGTTCGAGAAAAGGGAATTGAAGTTTTATTTTTCAAAAATGCAATTTGAAATTAAAAAGATTCGAGTGGAAATGGACATTTTTTATTCCACGAACTTGAACTAACTATTTATTTTATTGTTAAGACAAATAATTTTGATTAGTAATAAATACAAAATAAGATATAAACGTAATTTGTTCAAAAGGTAAAAGTTCATGTTGTGTTCAAAATTATGCTTGTAATATGAAAAATGTAAAAACATGACATTTCAAAGAATCACTCATTTTCTTCTAAATTTCTACAATGAGATTCATATTTTGACTTATCCATAATCTGCTTATTCTTGAATTATACGTAAATGAACTTTGACTTTTCTACAGAGGAGTTAACAAGACAACCATTATTCTAGGAAAAAAAACGGATTGTACTAAAAATATTCTACAGAGGCGAACCCCATGTGAATTAAAATATTGCAAAAAATAACACATCCACCCCTATTTGGCTGTTATTATTTATTCTGTACTGGTTCTGTACATTTTTATTTATTTTTTTTACGTATAGCTTGGCTGTTATTCTAGTCTCCCAACACATCCCCACAAGCTTTCAATGAATAAACATAATTAATTTGTGAATAATGCTATTTAATCTCATAGGGGTTGCAATCCAATTTAGATGACGCTAATGTGATATTAATTGATAGGTAGAATTAAATAACTCGTTTAATTTCATCTTTCATTTAACTTGTCATCTAGACTGAAATTGCAATCACAGTGGAACTGCATAATATTACTCTTAGTTTGTAGGGAAAAATAAAATTTTACCTGATCGGATGAGGAAGCTATAAGTTTTTGTACGAACTTCGACAATCAAAATATCTTGAAGTATTTTCTTGAAAAGGCAAAGAAGGTAAAGAAATATTGAGATTCTTTCCTTCAATGACCAAATACAGAAATTTTCCAACTCTAAAATGTTAGGTAGTGAGTCTATTTTAGTGGTAAACTTGATAGAGTTCTAATCAAACTCTAACTTAATTAAATTTGTTAATGTTAAGATTAGCACTAGTCACAAGCAACTTAGCTGGACAATTTAAGATCAATTTTGAATCTTTCTCACCTATCCAATTCTCTGCCGAGTTAGTTAGATATATAGTTCTATTTTTTAGTTTATTTAACGCTAAAATCCAAAATTTCAGACTTATATTTTATTATTTTATTTTTGAAAGCCACGTGTTTTATATTTGACTGTGACATTTCACCCTTTTTTTTTCAATTACGTTATCTCGTGTGTACAATCTACTCGTATCATACACAATAACTAGAGTCTTGTCTAGCTGAATCTATCGTTTCAAAACCTTATTGAATTTTAGCTTGTTTTGAGAACGTCAATCTTGAATATTGGTAAGGGGGCCAGTCGCTCGGCTCATGGGTAGCTCAAACTCACTTCACAATGAGTTGTAGGTTAAGTCAAGCACGATACCTAAGGCTCACACTCGAACCTGTAATTTTGAAATTCAACTTTTGTTTTCGAATTTTGTATCATTTAAAAGTTCTGTCTATTAGACTATCTGTTGAAAAATGAATTTTGTCATGAATGGTTTAGAAAATTTTATTGTTGTCATATCTTTTATATATTATTTGGGGGACCAATGTTGACTACAAAGATTACATAGCATCACATGTTATTAGGGATGTCAATTCAATTCGTCGGCTCTGATCGCCCATGTCTCGGCCCAGAAAAAACTCGAGCCGGTCCTACTCGAGGATTGGGGCAAGCCCGATTTTGGGATGTTGGCCCAAGCCAGCCCGTGTAGCTCGACTTGTGTCGTGGGGTATTTTCGGGCCGTGACTAGCCGACCCTTAAATTTAAAAAATTAAAAGGCAGCAAATATTATTATAGAAAAAATCTCGAGTCGAAAGCTCCGGTCGAGCCTAAATTTTTTAGCCGAGCTATTCATGCCCCAAAAAAGTTCGCACAATTTACTCTAGCTTCAAGTTTTGGCTCAACTCGTTGACATCCCTACATGTCATTACCTTGATAAAAGATGGATTGCATCTAGAATAATAGAATATTCTAACAATGCTCGAAATATATTTTCTGTTTTAATGTTCATTGAAAAAGAAGTTGGTTGCAAATATTAAATTAATAATTTTTTACTTTCGATAATGTAAGTACTAATAATTTTCAATGATGAATGAAGTAGATAGATTAAACCCGACTTTGATGCTAGACAATTTTATACATTCTATATTTATCATATTTTCAATTCAACTACGCAAGATGGATTAGAGTACGTTAAAAAAAAAAAAAAAAAAAANTAATTAAGTAACTTAAAAAAAAAAAAAAAAAAAAAAAAAGACATTCTTATTTTCATTAATGTCTCTCCATGCTCGTAAACAGTCATTTGTTAATTTATGTATAAGGAATAATAATAAGTGTATTTTGTACACTTATTTGGACATTTCAAGTTAGAGTATTTATTGGTTATTTTGATGAATTTTGACTTCACTCTATGCATATTGTGTTTGTTAGGTACAAATCGACATAAATGATGGAATTGAAGAAAAAAGGGTGAAATGGGTTAAATTTTAAAGATTCAAAGTTTGTGGACTAAAGTGAAAATATTCAAAATTGTATCGGACCTCAAGATGAAGATTCGAGATATGCTATGGGTCAAGTGGATGAGGAAAAAATCAAAGGGGTGAAATACAATCAAAGTATTATCACACATTAATTTTCAGCCAAAAAAGTTATGTTCCAGATTTTTAGTTTTAAATTGAGACCCATTTTTGGCATAACAAGTGTTTGAATTGGAAAAATTATAAATCTAAAAGAATTGTACCTCTTTGAGTTAACTTTTCAATACGCTTTGAATCGTTTCAATCGGATATTAAGAGAGAAAATTATGATAAAAATACTGATAGTTGTTTGGGACATAATTAGGCCCGCATCTAACCCTTCCTAGCACTGTTAGAAGCCAAAATGGCCTTAGAGGCGTGTACCTTACTTACAACTAGGCGTGAACTTGGTTCATTCCCAAGAAAAGAATTTTTCCCCTTTTTTTATCCGACCATGTATGGAATGACATCTTTAGCATTTTATATAAATTAAACAAGGTCCAAAACATGAGGAATCATAATTTTATTATTGAAGAGAGTCTAGCAAGCAATGAAAAAGAATTTTACAACAGTATTTGAAGTTCCAAATCTCATATTGAAGATTGAAGTGCAAGAAATCAAGTTTTGAGTTCTTCGTCCACTTTTTTTTACTTCGTCGAACCATATTAGATACTTGTGTTGATTTCTCTATTTCACTTCTCTATTATTGCATATAAAATTCAACAACTGTGTTGGGCGATTTTGAGCATTTTATTCAGTATGAATATTAGGGTTACATCATTAGTATTTATATTAACCCTAGTCCAAGTCCATGCAAAACTTTAGGACCCGTACAAAAAAATATCCCTGTACTGTTCCCCCAACCTATTCAACATCCTCGGCAAACAAATAGTAAATTAAATACAAGGCCGATGCCATCACTCTGTTTCGTTCCATTCAGTGCACTTCGTTCCCCTCACTCAACTCCGCACCACTTCGATATCGATCAATATGATCCAATAAACTTGTGCTCCACTCTACATGGCCAATGTTCCACTCTACATAAGTCACATACACCACTTATCAACATCCCATACACTTAATAGATTTTGTTTGAACAAATAGCTTAGTAGAATGAAATTTTGTGACTGAAATGAGTTGTTGAGGAAAAAACCGTACATACCTGACGCCGGGTAGGATAGTGATTATCCTATTGGCTGGTTGTAGCAGATGATTCGCAAGAAAAGAACGATAGAAAACGCCCAAAAAAACAGAGAAACACTCTGAATTCAACTCAATATTATTAATAATGCAGAATGCTGAAAACTAACCCACAAGCCGGGTTAAATAGCTGCGAAATACGAAATTATTGGAAAATTACCAAAAATGGAAAAATCCCGAAATTATACCAAAATAAAATATTAAGTAAAAGAAGTAAGTTGCCAAAAATTTGGCTTATTTCGAGTTCTCTAACATATAAAAAAAGGAAACTAAATAGTACCATAAATAGTAAAAAATAACTTAAAATCGAATTTTGGAAAGGAAAACAGTGGATTTTGGGCTTGAAATTGACGCCCACCGAGCAAAGCTCGGTGGCCACGACGTGCGCGTCGAAGAGAGCTTTCCGAATTGGGGTCATAATAGCGATTCCGATAACCGTAGCCAAAGTTATGACCAAATTACCAAAAACGCGTCAAAATCTCCCAATTAAGGAAATAATGGTGATTTACTTTCCATCTTTGCGCCGATCCGCCATCTCATGGTATCTCAGCGCCATCATCGTGTAATCTGACAAATCAGCATCACTTGACTCGGATCCTCCTGCATCAATACCTTGAGTGAAGATTATGATAAACTTAATACTACTTATTTTAATAGAAGACACTTGTAATCTCGACTTTAATTTTACATGTAGTCATTCATTTTTTTGTATTTCATATTAAGAAGTTTTTGAAGGTTTTCCACGACGCAACAAATGTATACATTTGCATTTACAGTTCTACTTTTCCATTTGTTCTTAGCCATATATTTTTATGTTGGAAATTGATGTGTAAATTCTACACCTATTCGGGCATCAAAGGTGAATATTTGGGAGTCAAATTGAACGGATCAGTACTTAAT